AACTATGCATTAAAGTATTTGTGGATCTTGTCTCATACTTCAAATGCATGTTTGCAGGCGAGGACTCGAGGTAAAACAGATTCAGATATGGTAGAGATAGGCCAGATAAACACTGATTGATCTTGAACCAGCAAAGACTCATATTTTTCAGAAAACATACCTGTCACACGATCTTGAGTTGTCTTGAATTTCTGAGGAATTTGCGGACTGAAAATGAATATGTGCATCTTTTGCACCAAGATAACACCTTCAACCTGTTGATTCCATAGTCGATAATTGATTTTTTGGAGTTTGATCGAGAGTTTTGGTCCGAACGCGTTGTTCGAATCGAATTGGAAGATGCAAAGATTGATGAAATTGCGTTGGGATGAGTTTGTTCTGGACCAGTTGACACATGAGTTTCGAAGGGTTCCATGGTTACAGCTTGAATCGGTGAAGGTGACGATTGATTTGCAGAGAAGGAGAATAAAAAGATTAAAGGGATTTAGGGTTTAGGGAAGCGTAACTGGACGAAACCAGCAATTGATACCATGTTGAAAGTAAAGTGGCATAGTATAATACACATATGAAAGCTAAAGCACTTAGTATTGATTGTATAGAAGTTATCTCAATTAACTATTTACAATCAAGTACCAGCTAGTATATATACAAGACTTGAGGCTTAACTAAATTTAGTTAGAGACAAACCTCTAACTGAATACTAACCCCAAAACTAACTGCTAACTGATACATACTGTTAACTGTATAACAGACAAATAAGAGCTACAATAGCACCACCATTAAATGACTAGTTATTTTATCTCTAACAACAAGTAACAAAACATAAATTAGGAAAAAATTCTAGGAGGCAGAGTAACTTCATTAATTTTTCAATATCATTTTCTATTTAAAGAAAGCTTGAAGAGAAAACATGGGTTGGAAAATTTGATGTTAAAAGACAATAGAGAATACATCTTCAAAGGCTCGAGATTGGATTTTTCTTTAGTTCTTCCATCTTTTATGTATATCTCTTTAATCTCTTTTGTAATGTCAAATATTGGTATGTCTTATTAATTCTCTTCAGATTGGACCATAAATGAACCTCTTGTAGTGCTATTTGATTTATATAATCGTAGAGTATTCTATTATATACTTCCTTCGATCTTTATTATTAGAGAAAACTTACTTTTTTAATTAATTGGATAATTAATATAAATAAATTAAATATAAATCAAACACATTATTTATTTAATAAATTTAAAAATAAAATTTGAGTAATTATTATCCAAAACTATTTAGTTTTTTCACCTGTGAATTACTTTAATATAATGACGAACATATAAACTTATTTTAAGAAAGAAGTCACCATTAACAACGATAATTGGAACTGAATTTAAGATAACTATTCAACAGAAAATGGCCTGAGAGATATTAAATTATCTATTATAATTTAGAAATTAACATATTAAAATTTTCGATAACATTAATCTGTGTAAAAAAATTAGAGAATTATGTTAGAGAAAGAATGCTTTGGACCCAAACATTGTTCTTATTCTAGTTTGCAAATTTGTCGTTATTCTACATGATTAATTATAGGAATTAGACCGTGATTAACAAATTAGAATTCAAGATGAGATTTTAATGATCTAATATTGTTTTTCAATTATTTTTATTCAAGTACTTTATATATCCTTTTACAATCTTCAACGTACGCTAAGAATACTCTCCCTCTTGTATTGCCAAATTGTAATAAAGGAGGGGATTCAAAGGATCTATTTTATTTTTTCAATTGATTTTATTCACTTACTTTACTTTTTCTTCTACAATATACAACATATGTTAAGAGTACCTTTTTTATTTTACCAACTAAGTAAATTGATAATTGTGAATTTAGAACAATCTTTATAGGGGGTAAAAGAACTTATATATTATTATTTGACGACAATGTGGTACATTTGCCGGATAGTCTATAAAAAAATAAAGGATAAAAATGTGTAAAGTGATTTGTCTGAATGGTTTTGTATGTGTAAATTTTTAAAAGTCTAGTTTTTACAGAGTAATTAATATCTCACCTCCAAATTATATATGTCATCTTTATTAGTGGCAATTTTATCAAAAAAGTCTCTAAAATATCCGAATTTTGAAAATTTACGGTTTTGTATTGGATTTTTTAATAGAATTTCAGAAATTTCTTCAATTTATCATTTTTTACTGTGCATATGCATATATATATGTAATTGAAAATTTTAAATTTTCGGTAACTCTCTTTTTCATATGTACCATAAATTTTGAAATTTCTGATAGGCGTAAAAAAAATTTCAAATTTCAAATTTTCGGTGGTATTGGTAATTGTTTTTCCAAATTTTTAACTTTTAATTGAATAATTTATACAGTAAATTAACTAACCGACTTAATATATAAATAGAATAATTATCATACATATTTGTACCGAAAAAAACTACAATCACTTCTTACACAAATCTTCCCAATGTCTGAAGCGACCCGCATATGCTGATTCTCATACTTTTGCATCATTAAAACAATTCTACTTCCAACAAGCATTGACGAGAGGAAATGGACAATTGGGTTTCAACTTTATCTGAACTTAATGATTATCGTTGACAAAACCAACAACAATGATTATATGTGGGCAATTGTGATGTTAAGTCTCACAGAAATGGAAACAAATACGACACTATATTTAGAAGTAATAGGGTAATCCATATCAAGAATCGAGATCCATTTTTCCTATCCTGCATACCCAAGTGTTCTACTTGTAATGTATTCCTAACCGTAGAAACAATATCATAGAACAAATTGGAAAACAATTTAGCGTGTTGATGAACTTTAGTATCTAACTGCTTCTGAACCAAAAGCCATGAATCTTCCTCCCGTCATAATAAAGATGAAATACAACGGAAAAAATAGTTTCCATCATCCTCAACATTAATAATGTCATCTATGTATGGATGAAAGAAAGTAGAAAATTGTGACAAGAACTCAGCTCTTGAAGATTTGATAGAAGGTTGCTTACCAATCGGCATGCTTGACGATTGACTTCCAATTGATTTTGTGCACGATCTCTTCGTAGTCTGACTCCCCTGTGAAGCCTCAGCATACCTATTTTTCTTGTATGTGCAATCAAAAATCAACATCAGATAAAACACATGTATTTATCTTGGTGAATAAGAATCAATAGCATTTGCATCTCAGTCATTGCATCTCTTTTGCTCAATTTGTATGTTGCTCTATCTCTATATATCTGGGTGATACTCGTAAGGTTTTATAGATCTTTGTCTTTCAGAGCAAAAATAATGTACTTTGGTGTCATATTGTACTTCGTCATGTCATTCACAAAATTTATTTCATGATCTTTTAGACGACCTAATATGTCATGACTGTTCAAGCCCTTATCTAGTATATGATTATGCATTCCACATCTAACCATCACCTTTCAACCGATACCACTGGAAACAGATCTCAGCCTATAAAGGCATTTGACTTTCATAACATAGATGCCATCAGAGGTGGATCTAGATTTTTTTTCTTTTCAAATTTCATCCTCTATCACAACCAATAATCAACTTATTCTTTCTCCCACGTATTCCATTAGTCGAATAGGAACGAGTTGTAACAACAACAATACCATACTTTTTACCAATAGACTGTGCTCATTCTAGAACTTTAGATCGGGAATCAAAAATCTTCCAATTTAAACAACATATAATTAGTAAACTTCATCAATTTATTTAAGGTTGATAACCAAATAATAATGTGTAAATTCAATAGAAGACATATGATATATGTGGTGAAGAACAACGTAATATCACTACATGAATCCGTAGAAGAAGCTGAAGTTGTCGGCTCTGGATCACAAATGCATAAAATTTCATTTACATACATATCAGAAATTTCAAACATAACTGAAATGTCCGGTTATACAGAAATTTGAAATTTCCGATGTTATGCTACCTTCCGAAAATTTGCGTAATTTTCTATTTATGCAATAGCGTTTGAAAATCGTCCCAGAAATTTTAAAATTTCCGTGGAATCACACCTGAAAATTATAGAATTTCCAATTTTTTACAACCGAAAACTTACGTAATACAAAGTATTTCCGATATACGCTAAAATTAGAATATCAAAAATTTGGTCGACTTATCGAAAATTTCTTTTTGATCCACTTTGATCAATAATAGAAAAAGTTAACAAATATAAAAATTAATAAATGATAAAAGGGATATTTTAGGAGTAATGAAATATGGGAAAAGGGGGTGGCATGGATAATTTGGGGTTGAGACGTTAATTTCTCATAGACACACTACTTCTACAGGCCAAAACTACGTGGCATACATAAACTAGCCTTGTTTGGCTAAAGATGCATGAGTTTTTCCTTTATTGGGGGTACGTGTTGGAACACGTTCGACACGATTATGTAATTTCATGGTATTTTCGTCTTCTTATCCATGCGTGTGAGACTACCTCAAAAAGGTGGTTTCTTTCTTTTAGTTTTTTCTAATTATTGAAAAAACCAAGTTCCACGTGTCGAAAGTTTGAGCCATCCACTATCTATTTCAGCACCTAAATGAGTCGGTTTAGGTTAAATATAGTCAAAATCATAACTCAATCCGTATACTGGTTTGGATGAGGTAAAATAACTATCTAAAATTGACAAATTTATAAGTTGGATTGGGTTGGATGGTAAGATATCCAATTTTTTTTTCTTCTTTATATAATTATTAATGATGTGACACAATTTTTTTAATAGTTTAACATATCTGTGATGAAAAGTAAAGAAAAAGTCTAAATATCCGATAAAAAATTTATACAAGTGACACCATTCGTTTTATAAACTAATTTTATAAAGATGAATTAAGTCAAACTCTAATAGTTATATCATAGAGCGACTCAATATGAAATTTGTATTCAAATATTATTGGAAACATAGAGAAATTTAAGGATATTTTTTCAGGTGTGCGATTTATAATTCAATATGTAGTTTTATTTCATAATTTTCGTTTTCAATGGATGAATAAGGTCTTGATTTTGATTAATGATGCAGTTACATCAATCATATTAATCCGTGCCTCAGGTGAGTCTTCACAACACCTCAATGCTAAAGCCAAAATAGATGATACATGAGCTAAAAATTCATGAATTTCTTTATCTTGTTGAGAGACTAAATTGAAATCCACAACTTCCATGACTGAACTCACCATTGATTCACTAATCCAAGTTTTCAAGGTTAATTCTCCTGCAAACATTTCATTTGTTGGCTTCTTTCCTGTGAAGATTTCCATTAACATTATTCCATAGCTGTACACGTCTCCTTTAACTGAAATAACTCCCTTAGAACCATACTCTGCATGTCAATATTAATAACTAGTTATTACATATTTCTTAAATACAATGAAAATGATTTACAAATTGTTAAGGAGAGAGTATTCATTTTTTGCAAAGTATATCTTTAATTCGATATAAATTTGACTATTAACAATGAGTATGGTCGTCTTTGAAGGCGTGTAAGACAGACCGCTGCATAAATCTTAAATTTGACATGGTTATACTGTAGTTAAAAATAATCTCATAAAATATTTGTCACATTAAGTTATGGAAAAATAGGCCCCTATTCATATTTTCACTGTTAGACCGTGACTAATTTATACATGGCTTCCGAAAACTTAAGATGATCCTGACTATGAGTATAAACTATTATAATTAATTTACAAGTTGGAAGAGAATAATTACCTGGTGCAACATAGCCAAGAGTGGCTAGAGTCTCTGTATGAGTTTTAGAATGTCCTTCATCCAAGAGTTTAGAAATTCCAAAATCACTCACATGTGCAACCATATTTTTATCAAGTAACACATTACTAGGCTTCAGATCACAATGAACCACAGGTATTGAAGAACCATGATGGAGATACTCCAGGGCATATGCAACATCTATCATTATATTCAACCTTTGCAAGAAATCTAAAAAATAGTTATCCGAGTATAACCATTTTTCCAAACTTCCATTTGACATAAACTCCATCACCAAAGATTTGAAATTTACACTTGAACAACTAGTAATAATCTCAACAAGGTTTCGATGTCGAAGATTGCGCATTGCCTTGCATTCCGCATCAAAACTTCTTGATGCTACTTCCAATTTCAAGTCAAGTACTTTAACTGCTACCATCTTCCCATTAGAAAGCATTCCTTGATACACAGATCCACAACCACCCTTTCCAAGCAAGTTACTCTCACTGAATCCACCAGTGGCTTGCACAAGTTCACCATAGGAGATCCTTTTTGAAGCCCCTAAATTAGTTGATAAATCCCTTTCAAGTGGATTTTCAACTTTTTTCCTTTTGAACATTAGAACTATTATGCATGCAATACCCAGAAGGCCTAACACAACAATGGACGACATGCATATGATTAGTATCATCTTTTTCATTGACTTTTTCCTAATTTGCTTATCACACGGAGGTACTAGAAAGTGAGGACTACCACAAAGTGCTGTATTATTCATGAAAGATTGAGCTGTAAATTTCTTGAAAGGTCCTTCATTAGGAATCTCTCCTTGCAATCTATTGGATGAAACATTCATGTATTTAAGATACGAAAGTGACTCTAAAGATTTCGGGATCACACCTGTTATAAGATTTTGAGACAAGTCCAAGAAGCTCAAACTTACCATTTCACCAAATGATTTTGGGATAGGTCCTTCCAATTTGTTATTTGCTAAGGAGAGAGTTTCTAATGTTGTCAAGAAACTTATCGTTGTTGGAATGTTGTTTGAAATTTGATTTCCTGACAAATCTAATAGCACAAGAGCTCTCAAATTCTTAATCTCAAATGGAAGAATTCCAATTAAAGCATTAGAGGATAAGTTTACCTCTAAAATATCTTTGAGATTCCAAAAGGAGGAAGGTATTGTAGAGGTTAACCTGTTAGATCCAATGTGAAACTTTCTAAGTGAAGTCATATTTCCCAAACATGTTGGTAACACTCCAAAAAACTTGTTGCTTGTTAAATTCAACTCACTCAAACTCCTAATTTCACAAAGCTCATCAATTATAGATCCTTTAAGTTCATTGTAGGCAAGGCCTAAAGATTGAATTTTCTGTAACTCTTTGATTGTACTAGGGATTTTTCCATTTAAATCATTCCTACTCAGAGATAATTGAACCAAGTTGCTCATGTTTCCGATTTCTAGTGGAATGTTTCCATTAATTCCACAAGAATTTGCCCAAAAATGTTCTAGAGATAAGTTTCCAATGGACTTGGGAAGTTTTAATGGTAAACTATTCTCTGATATTTCAAGACGTTTCAAGTTTCTGCAACTTGTCAGTGAAGTTAGGAAGTTGAACTCAAGAGATTCATCTATTGTCAAATTATTTCCACCTAGGATTAGTGATTCAAGGTCTCTTAATTTTCCAAATGAGTTTGGTATAACTCCGCTAAATTCATTCGAACTCAAGTCAATTATGACGAGATTTGAAGCATTGGAAATACTATTTGGAATATTTCCAACAAACCTGTTTCCATACATGTGAAGTTGTAGTAGGTTTGGAAGGCCTAATCCAATATTTGATGGAAGCATGCCTGAGAGAGAATTTTGTTCAAGATGAAGATGTTCCAATGTTGAGATGTTGAAGACATTTGAAGGAACATGTCCACTCAAACTGTTATTTCCCAATTGAAGAAGCTGAACTTGATTGAGAGTGCCAATCTCCATCGGTATCGCACCTAAAATCACATGTATATGATGAAGCACCACAATATAATGATGCATGAAATGCATAACCAAAAAATGAAGATATAAATTTGAGGGTATACCTGAAAAAAAGTTATCCTGCAAAGTTAATGTTTGTAACAATGTACAATTGCCAATCGATTGCGGAATGGTTCCTTCCAAATGATTACGGAATAGAGTAAATATTTTAAGTTGAGGAAGTTGATGACACATCTCGCCCGGAAGAGTTCCATTTAAATCGTTTCCGTCAAGGACTATCTCTATCAAGGAAGAGATGTTGAAGAGGGAAACTGGAATTTCACCTGTATATGTAACACAAAATATGAAAGTTTTATTCAATAAACACTTAATGTATTGGGAAAAATATCTTACCTTCCAAGTTGGTGCTAGTAAGATATAAAGATTGAAGCTTTGTCAAGTTTCCAATGTCAGCTGGCATAGGTTCTTTGTCAAAATTATTATAGGATAGCTCTAAATCTTCCAATTCTTGGCAATAACTCCAAACATTTGGCATCTTACCAGAAAAATCATTAGTATAAAGATAGAGTAATCTAAGATTTGGAAGTCCTAGACAAACATTTGATGGAAGAATGCCAGAGAGATTATTAAAACCAAGACCCAATATTTGCAAAGATGAGTTGTTCAACATTAATATGTTGCCAGTGAGGAGGTTATGTTGAAGGTTCAATTTTATCAGTTGTGGAAGATCGCCAATTCCTTTTGGAATTTCTCCTTTATTTCAATATAGACAAAATAAACATATTTAGGATTATTGTTTAAACATAATACGCATCACAACAACGGTACTCAACTGCAATTTAAAACCATGAGTGAGAGTATATCATACCTGATAAATAATTATTTGCTAGAAGGATTTCTTGGAGTGAAGACATGTTGAAAACTGCTGATGGTATGATTCCAGAGAGTGTGTTATTTCTAACATCCAAAATTCTCAACCTTTGAAGTTTACCAATAGCATGTGGAATAGTTCCTTCAATGAAATTTGAATTCCAACTTAGATACTCCAACATTGACAAATTGGATATGGATTGAGGAATAAGTCCAACAATGTTATTATATCCAAGATCCAAATATTGAAGTTTTGATAAGTCCCCTATCCTTGAAGGAATTTCTCCTACAAAACCATTGTAACTCAAATCCAACCACTTCAATCTCTTCAAATGAAGTAACTCTTGTGGTAACTCACCATGGAAACTATTGCCTTGTAAATCAAGAACAACAAGGAAAGAGAGGTTTCCCAGTTGAGGAGAAATGGAACCTTGAAGGCCCATGTTACTTAGATTCAATGCATTTACTCTACCATGACTTTCATCACAGGTAACACCAACCCAATTGCATGAAGAGAAAGAAGACCAATTACTAAGAACATGATAAGGGTCTAAGGTGATAGATGATTTTAATGAAAGAAGTGCAAATTCATCTGTGGTGATGTTTTTCTTAGTACTCACAGCTAAGCAAGTGAAGAAGTAAAAATAGAGAATAGAAAGGCAAGTAGAGTATAGTTTGGCCATTTTCAATGAATCAATATAATAATATTTGTGAGTGTAAGCACTGATGAGGATATATAATATTATAAATATATTTTTGTTCACAAATCAAAATAGTTTTGAAAATAATTAATTTGCAAGAGTGAAGAGTGAAGAGAGTTTGAGTTTTTTGAGCATTAGTCTTTCCGCGTTATTTAACTTTTTGTAGTTGAGAACAATGATTCTTCGCCATCATGTTGACCTGTTTATTTTCAATAGATGATTGGTATGGGAGAAACCAATATTTAAGTCCAAGTGTTCACATTTAGACCCAAACCAATTATAGGTAAGAAGAAGAAAAAAATTTGAATTTTCAGAACTTTCTCGTATTCACATTGGTAATGATGACACTTCTTCCTTGTTCTTGTTGTAATTTAGTATGTCGTCTCAAGATCTAATTCGACTTCAATTTGGTTTTCAATTATCTTAATTAGGAGTATGTCATTTCATTTCTATATATGTTATTGGAGAAATGTAACGTGAGTGTTTTTTTATTACTCTTTTCTCTCTTCCCGTCACATCACACAAGAAAACATAAACATGTGACAACTTTTTAACGTTTTCAAACAACATCGTCATTTTAGTTTGTTCTTACGCAATCTTTACTATATCGTTTCCTTTGATTCATATTGGTGTGAACACTTGACTTGTTTTTCTTCTGCAAAGGAAGCTGGCCCCATTCTTATTCCAAAACAAACACATTTGACTTGTTTTCATTTGATAATTTTGTGTTTCTAAATACAAGAATACATATATCTTCTTAATCATCATTTTAATAGTTATATAAGTAATTTATGTCGGAATGTTAATGGTGAGTATGAGTTTCATAAAAAAATGAATATTTAATACTTTATAAGTAAGAAGACACATAAATCTAAGGTCTTAAAAATTTTGGGTTAATATGTGATGTTCAATTCATTTTAAATGAGTGTTGAAAGTCTAATGCGACGATCTCCAGACCCCTCATGACTCAAAACAGTGGTATCAGAGCTTAGTTCGACTAGATGTTATCGCGGTAAAGCAACAAATAAGTGTAAGTATTTTTAGTTTTGTTTTATCGTCTTCACGGGGATTAATGCGAGGGAAAAATGTCGTTCAATGGTCACTAGGTTTCTGAGTTTGGTTTGAATGGTTTAAACACGATAAATGCGGAAAGTAAAATATAAACAAGAAAACTAACACATTCTTCAAAACAGAGAGAACTCGTCGAGATTGTATTTCATCTACCCGTCAAAGACTTAAACCTACTGATCAATTGTACGCAACTCAAAACACTCGTCAATATCATCATGTATCACTCACAATTTAGGTTATGTCTAACGTAGAGTTGAGAGAACAACGGTATTGTCTTATCAGTGATGTCTCGCGCAACTCAACAACACATAAGCATTAAGAACTAATACTTATGAATATTAAGTCTAAATCTATCTCTAGAGTCTAGAACTCAATAGATGTTCATCCTAAATCCAGATTCGAACTGTATATGTCTATAACAACTCAAATCAAAACAAAGCAAACAATCATCAATATTGATTTGTAAAAGAGGTTTTATACAATACCATAATCAGTAAATATACATAAAATTAGAGTAACTTACATACAAAACCCAACAAATGGAAACTACAAAGGGAAAAAAGGAGAAGAGCGAAAATCTTTCGCGGTGTCAATCACAATCAAAGAAGCTTTCAACCCCGGATCATCGAGTTGCATCCTCCATTGTTGTTGTCAAAGCTCTCAAAATATCAAAGAATGAAGGTGATGGAGTTAGGAGCTAAAAATCCCCAAAACTATAACCTAAAAATGTGTTCTAAACCCCTAAATACAAGTTTCTGCCCAGACAAATTCGTCCGACGCTCACAAAATTTGTCTGGCGAATTGTCTCTTTAATCCCAAAATGTTACTCAAAAACAGCCAAATTCGCCTGGCGACCAAAAAGTCCGCCCGATGAAATTGACAGCAAAATGAAAAAAAAATCTTGTTTTCACCATAACTCGAGAACCGTAACTCTGATTTATGTACAGTCAGAAGCGTAGTAAAGCTTATTCAATACTCTATCTGACAATGACTAAATATAGAAAAAATTGATAATTTTCCTCTTTTCTGAAGTTGCTCAAAATCACATCTTTGAAGTTGTGTCTTTGCCTCTTATTGCTCAATGTTTCAACCATGCATGAATACCTACAAAATTGATGAAAAAATATCAAACGATATACTATTTACACGAATAAACAATTGAACTATTATGTACACTAAAGTCGGGGTTTTAACATACACTAATACAAAGTGTACATACAACAACGCCAAAGTCACCACGGCTTGCCCCAAAACCGTAGTGACACCGCTAAAATAATGCACTAACATTTTTTTAATTGAAAATTTAAGGTTATAATTACAGTTAATTCTTTAACCGTGGTGATACAATCTAACTTTTCTGGGTTCGATCATCAACTCTCTCAAATAGTTTATCCCTTTTACGTTAATGCACATCTTTTAAATTATATTTATATATAATTAAAAAATAATAGGGACATCACTACGACTCTTTTGTACAATCGTTGTTACACACTGGAGATTATTTATATATATATATTAAATACTAAGTACCCATTCTTTCATTGATAAAAGAAATAACTCTAACACCAACGTCATCGACATTGTCGGGAAGAAGAAAACAACCCTAACACCACACTCATTATTGTTGTCTAATTTCATCTCAATGTCGCATTTGAAGAGTAAATCATCCAAAGGTGTAAAATCTCGATCTAGAAATTTTTGTGGTTGTGACAGTCGTATGGTTTCGTACCAATGCAAGAGGGGTCAAAATAAAGGAAGACTTTTTAGAGATGTCCAAATTGGTGGAGTAGTGAAACATGTAATTTTTTCATATGGGATGATGAACAAAAATTGAAAGATGAGAGTAGTATGATATCAGAGTTGGAATATGTTGGGTATTTGAAGATTATGTATACAGATTCAAAAAAGAAGAACAAGAATTTGAAGAACAAACTGAAGTCAGAGAGATTTTCTGGAAATTTGAAGATGTTATATTTTTTATCTCCTTTATGTTTAATATTTACTTTGTTATAAAATATAATAGTTGAATTAGGGTTTGAAATTTGAAAATTTTATGTTTTCTTATATCCTTTATGTTTAATATTTACTTTGTTATGAAATGTAATAGTTGAAGATGCAGTGGACTTGACAGGAATATGCAACTAACAAAAGGTTTCTTATGAGTAAGTTCATTGCAATAATTTTCAGTTATAATAATGTGTTTTATATATTTTGTAGTTTAAGCTGATAGGTTAAGTTGAATGTTTAAGTTGAATGTTTAAGTTGATAACCTTAAGAGAGTTAAGCAGATTAAAACTTCATTACACGTGACTTTCATTACATGATCAAAAACCATAATAAAATCTAAATCCTCTCGCTGAGATAAAGTTAGATCAATCATAGTTAGCCTCATCATCATCATCATCAGAATCGAAAAAATTATCATTTGCCTTCTCAACCTTCTTCTTCTTCTTCTTCTTCTTCTTCTTCTTCCCCTCACCCTGAGAGCTCTCATTAGTCTAAACACAACACTCTCTACAACAATATCTTGAATTTGAGGATGGTTTTTCCACTAGTTTCTTTATAATCATCTGATAAGGTATTCCAATCTGCATCATTGTATCCTTCAAGTACAACAGGAAATCTCTGATAATGTAAACCGAGATTCATGGTCCTTTTAAGGTACTGTATGACTCGCTCAATAGCTTGTCAATATTCATTACTCGGTCTACTAGTAATCCCGTAAATAATCCCACGACATATGAAATATCGAGTTTAGTACAATCAATGGAATACCTAAGACTTCCAATGATGCTTGCATATTCTGTTTGTCTAACACTTTCACTAGTGTTCTTAAACAGCTTCACTCTTGGATCATTTGGTGTGCTCACAAGTTTACTGTCAAAGTAATTATATTTCTTTAAGATCTTTTTCACATATTGTGATTGATCCAAAAAAATTCCTTTCTCGGATCTCGTGATCTTGATACCAAGAATCACACTCGCTTCTCTGAGATCTTTCATATCAAAGTTGTTGCACAAAAATGATTTCATATCATTAATGGCCTGAATGTTTGATCCAAATATGAGTAGATCGTCTATATATAGACATATGATAGTGCAAATACAATTCTCAAATTTGTAATAAACGTATTTGTCACTTTCATTCACTTTGTACCTATTCGATATCATTAAGTTATCAAACTTTACATGCCATTGCTTTGGAGCTTGTTTTAGCTCATACAAAGACTTATCTAACTTACAGACCTTGTTTTCTTATCCATGGATCATAAAACCTTCCGGTTGTTCCATATAGATTTTTTCTTCTAAGTCACCATTTAAAAAAAAATTTAACATCCATTTGGTGTACTATTAAGTTATAAATAACAGCTACTGAAATAAGCACCCTAATGGATGTAATTCTAGTGACAGGAGAAATGGTATCGAGGAAATCTATATTTTCTCTTTGCCTAAAACCCTTGGCAACAAGGCGAGCCTTGTATTTATTAATAGTTTCATCAGGTTTTAGTTTCTTTTTCAAAATCCATTTACAATCGATTGATTTGGAACCAGGAGGCAAGTCTACTAAGTTCCAGGTCTTGTTAGATTCTAGAGATTCTATCTCATCATTGATAGCTTCTTTCCATAAATCAGCATCCAGAGATGACAAGGATTCTTGAAGATTCATTGGATCTTCTTCTACATTATAAGCCGCATAATCATGCCCATAGTCTTTAGCAACTCTTACTCGTTTACTTCGTCGAAGTTCTGTTTCTATATTGTCGTTGCTTTCTGTGCTTCTTATCACAGGAATGTGACTCGATTGTGTGCCCCCACTATTTCTCAATTTGAAAGGAAATTTGTCTTCATAGAATTCAACATCATTTGATTCTATGATCACTTTTGCCTTTAGATCATAAAACCTATATGCTT